CTTTTGCAAACTATTATTTGAACTCTTACCTAAACATGAGTCTAACTACTGTTTGTGTGTGTGTATGTCTCGACCTCAAAATGCACTCGGCCCCACCCCGCCCGTTGACGCTTCTGACCTTTTACCAGACAGAAGCTCTCTGTGATAGGTGTAATAATCTTAACTAAGAACATGTGTAATCTATTGAATAAATGCTTTGATGAAATGGTAATTAATGTAATGGTAATGATGATGGTTATGAATAGTAGCAGTAAAATATTTCCCTGATCTCCACAGGGGCCATAGCCCGCAACACCAGGAGGGTGTGCTCCAACAATAGGGGGATCACACTCCTTAGCCTCCCCAGGAAACTCATCCCGGTCGCGGACCAGCTCTTTACCCTCTTCAGATGATGTGGTTCTGTTTGCTTTATCAGGTAATGGCCTCCAGCTTGCACTGGAGCGGTTTGCAGCCAACCGTGAAGCATCAATAGTGAGAATCAGGAAATCTAAATGATACTTAAACATAAACAATGAATGTCAAAATATAAGAAAACTCAAAAACACTGGACAGGACAGGACAGTTTCTCCAAATACTTTTTGGCTCTGTGAAAACAGTGCACTGTGTAAAAACAATGGGTGTAATTAACAAATAGCACAATACTCATTTACCCTCTGGGATAATATCTGATGATCGCATGGCCAATTTAAGATCAACTAGAAAGCAGGAACCTCGCTGATTCTCCGCTGTCAGTAACTTTGACAGTTTGATTAACTCCACCAAATTAATAGATTGAAGCCAACATAATGAGGCATCATACTAAGATTTTTTAGATATTGTATCATTATGTGATAATGACACTTTTAAACTAAGCAGAATAATATAAAAGCAAAATTGTTCCTATTCACGTTTAGTGTTATATTTGAGTGTACTGAGTGTCATCTCAATACATATTCATGATTAAAGTATTCATTTTAGTTGGCTATTGCAGAGCACAGTCAGCTAGCAATGGTTGTTGCTGGGTATGGGGGAGGGTTAGGGTTAGCACCAGAGGCGGATATATATATATAGAATTTGAAAAATAACAAACCTAAAAAGAAACACTAGGTACGAGATACATGAGTACCTATGATACGGTGATACTTTTGGTAAACAACCATTTGACTAACAT